AATAGAGCACTGCGGTCGAACACCCCTTCCTCCTCCTCTCCCTCCTCCTGCCTCCTCCTGCGCTGCCCAATGGGTGGCTGCGAAGCGCGCAGCTGCCGCCGCGTTCGTGGGTTCCTTTGGAGGTCAAGCGGACTGGGGGGCCTCGCGCATCCAGCAGAAACCTCGCAGCTCCCTGGGTGGCTGCGAACTGCGCAACTGTCGCCACGTTCGTGGGTTCCTGGGAGGTACGGCGGCGTAGCGGAGTACGCGAGACCTCGAAGCCCCCTGGGTGGCTGCGAAGTGCACAACTGTCGCCACGTTCGTGGGTTCCTGGAAGGCACGGCGGCGTAGCAGAGTACCCGAAACCTCGCAGCTCCCTGGGTGGTTGCGAACTGCACAACTGTCGCCACATTCGCGGGCTCTTGGGATGCACGGCGGCGTAGCGGAGTACGCGAGACCTCGCAGCTCCCTGGGTGGCTGCGAACTGCACAACGGTCGCCACGTTCGCGGGCTCCTGGGAGGCACGGCGGCGTAGCGGAGTACCCGAAACCTCCCAATTCCCTGGGTGGCTGCGATCTGCACAGCGGTCGCCACGTCCGTGGGTTCCTGGGAGGCACGGCGGCGTAGCGGAGTACCCGAGACCTCGCAGCTCCTTGGGTGACTGCAAACTGCACAACGGCAACCACGTTCGAGGGCTCCTTTGGGGGTCCAGCGGAGTCGGGGGCCTCGCGCATCCAGCAGAAACCTCGCGGCTCCCTGGGAGGCTGCGAACTGCACACAGGTCACCACGTTCGTGGGCTCCTGGGAGGCACGGCGGCGTAGCGGAGTATCCGAGACATCGCAGTTCCCTGGGCGGCTGCGAACTGCACAACTGTCGCCACGTTCGTGGGCTCCTGGGAGGCACGGCGGCGTAGCGGAGTACCCGAGACCCCGCAGCTCCCTGGGTGGCTGCGAACTGCACCGCGGTCGCCACGTTCGAGGGCTGCTGGGAGGTACAGAGGGGGAGCGGAGTATCCGAAACCTCGCAACTCCCTGGGTGGCTCCGAACTGGACAACTGTCGCCACGTTCGTGGGCTCCTGGGAGGCACGGAGGAGGAGGAGGAGGAGGAGGAGGAGGAGGAGTAGGAGGAGGAGGAGGAGGAGGAGGAGGAGGAGGAGTTGAGTACCCGAGACCTCGCAGCTTCCTGGGTGGCTGCGAACTGCACAACGGTCGCTACGTTCGTGGGCCTCTTTGGGGGTCCAGCGGACTCGGGGGCCTCGCGCATCCAGCCGAGACCTCGCAGCTCCCTGGATGCCTGCGAACTGCGCAACGGTCGCCACTTCCGACGGTTCCTGGGAGGCACGGCGGCGTAGCGGAGTACCCGAGACCTCGCAGCTCCCTGGGTGGCTGCGAACTGCGCAACTGTCGCCACGTTCGTGGGTTCCTGGGAGGCACGGCGGCGTAGCACGCGAGACCTCGCAGCTCCTTGGGTGGCTCCGAATTGCGCAACGGTCGCCACGTTCATCGGTTCCAGGGAGGTACGGCGGCATAGCGGAATACCCGGGACCCCGCAGCTCCCTAGGTGGCTGCGGGCTGCACAACGGTCGCCACGTCCGTGGGCTCCTGGGAGGCACGGCGGCGTAGCAGAGTACCCAGGACCTCGCAGCTCCCTGGCTGGCTTCGAACTGGACAACGGTCGCCACGTTCGTGGGCTCCTGGGAGGCACGGCGGCGTAGCAGAGTACCCAGGACCTCGCAGCTCCCTGGCTGGCTTCGAACTGGACAACTGTCGCCACGTTCGTGGGCTGAGGCACGGCGGCATAGCGGAGTACCCGAGACCTCGCAGCTCCTTGGGTGACTGCAAACTGCGCAACGGTCGCCACGTTCGTGGGCTGCTGGGAGGTCCAGCGAAGTCGAGGGCCGCGTGGATCCAGCCGAGATCTCGGAGCTCATTGGGCGGCTGCGAACTGCGCAACGGTCGCCATTTCCGTGGGCTCCTGGGAGGCACGGCGGAGATGTGGGCAGCCCTGATCTTGCATATCTGGCGAGTTCTGTCGCATGGAGCGTTCATACACATTCGCCTCGCGTGGAAAGGGGCTGGGCACGTCTCGGATATGTTGTGATTTGTGTTGGTGTTTTTGTTGCTGCTGCTGCTGTTGTTGCTGTCATGTTCTCTCTGTACTTATTTGTTTGTTCTCGTCTCTCGTGGAGACGGGCTTGGGCACGTCTCGGGTAACTTGTGCGTTTTGCTGTTTGCCGTTATCTCTCTCTCTCTCTATCTGTATCTCCTTGTTTGTGTTATCTCTCCCTCTCTCTCTCTCTTTCTTTCTTTCTCTCTCTCTCTCTCTCTCTCTCTCTCCCTGCCAGCACCGCGATCCAAAGGCTACAAGCATCGGGCTGACCATGCGTGGCTCTGCGGGAGTCAAGGAATGGCTTTACAGCACACTGTCGAAAGGACTGCAATCTGCAAGCACAACATGAGAGCAAGCCAGGCCTGCGGGAACGCGTACATCGCACCACCGATGGCGGGCATCGTGATTCCCTGTCCACCCCGACTCTCAGAATCGCACGCTCCGCCTCTCACATGCGCACGCGTCCCGTGAACGAACGCAGCCTTCTCCCAAGGGAGCGAAGCATTACTCCCCATCTCCACAAGAGCGCGTTTGTTTCTTTCGGGCGATAGTGGGCATTATAGGGGGGAAGGGGCGGGGGGGGTATAATGTAACGCCTCCCCCCCCGCCATGTGCCCGAGGCGCACGGCGGCGGTGCCCGGACCGCACTGGGGAGGGGAGTCACGTTATAGGGTGGGGGAGGGGGGGTCGGAGACTATAATGCCCATCATGCCCCAAGCAATAAAGAAACACGCCCCAATTGGCTTGGAGGGATGCGCCGACACCCCTCGCAGCACGCTGCACACAGCATTGCGCAGACGCAAAGTTTTCGGAGATCCGCGCGGCCTTAACTTATCGAGTCGGCGCTGCACCCCCCGACCCCAGCGCACGAAGCGCGCCAGGGACCGCGCCGGAGGTGCCACCAGGGTTAGGTCGGGCCTGTTCCCCTACAGGGGAATTTTGAACGAACAACAAATAATATCCCAGAAGTGCCCCAAAATGATTAAAAATAGTGCAAATATCTGCATACTATTTTTTGATTATTTTTGAACATCCCCCCTGTAGAGGGACAGGCCCGACTTAAAGGTGCCACCAGGGGGGGGCTCGGCACCGATCCAAGAAGTCCGAGCGGACCTCCGAAAAGTATGTACAGTTTTTGTTTTTCGAGATGCCGCTCCCAAGCCCACCGCGCTGCAAGCCCCATGGAGGTGCGGAGGCAGGAAGAACTACTGCTCTGAGATGAGCCAAGAGAGCGCTTTTTCATTCCCTGGGGGTATCGTCTGTTACCCTCAGGAGGGGGAAGGAGGGAGAAACGGGGGGCGAATGGTGTGTGTTTGTGCGTTCGCGATTGTCGCGGTAACGAGGGTGACGGCGGGGGTCGCAGCGGCGGCGGCAATAGCAAAATTAATACGACTGATGCCACACATAATCATCATAACCACACGAATGCTCAGACTAATACTGATACTACACATACGAATGCTGACAAGAAGGAGATCAATCAGAATTTCAGCAATCGTGGTAGTCGTAGTCGTAGTGGCATGTGTATTACTCGCACTAGTAATGTCCATAGCAGGAGTGCCAATGCTATGAATCGGCGTATTGCGGTTGTTGTCGTAGAGTAAGCACCGTGTGATTATTCGTGTCGAAAGCAGCAATGCAAAAATGACGGTAGTATCGGTAGTATCCATGGTAGAAGCAATCACCTGATGAACACTGTAGTCGTAAGCAGTTCGGGGATGGACAGCACCCCCTTTAGTAAAACGTGGCTTCGTGAAAACGGCCTTGGAAATGACGGCCGCGACACCCTCTCGAGAACCGGAAACGGACACTTCCCTGATCGTCGCGTCAGGGTTGATGAGCCTGTTTTCCACCACCACCACCACCACAAGTTGGAGGGACGAAGACGGTGGAGGATGAGGAGGAGGAGGAGAAAGGAGAAGAAAGCACAGGAGGTGGAGGACCCCCTCCCCCCTCCAACTTGTGGTGGTGGTAGTGGAAAACAAGCCTATCAAGGGTGGGGGCTCTGCCCCCCCCCGAAGTCGTAGCTCCACACAGGCCCGCGAGCCACACAAGATGTGTGCGAGCACCCCGGCATGCCGCGCGCGCGCCCACCACGGCAGCCTGCGGGCGCCCCCGCGCGCCCGCGGGCGCGGAGAGGGCAGCGCAGCCCCCCCCGCCCCATCGTGGGCACTCTACGGGGAGGGAAGGGTACAGGGGGATCAGAGAGGGGCCCAAGGACACACACACACACACTCGCACACATAGACACAATCGCACATACACACAGATCCCAGGATGTCCCCCTATCTTTTGTATATATATATATATATATATATATACATAAAGATATATGTATATAGATGTGTTCTGGATGTTCGTCTTCCCCCCCTCCCGCTTCCCAAATTTAAGCCCGACTCTCCTGGGACATCGACGATTCCCTGTGTCTGCGTGCTCTTCTCCTCCCCCCGGAGGCAACGGACGCCATCCCCCCCCAGGAACACACGCAAACTCCGACCGGGGGATGTCCGGAAGGGGGTTGCGCTGAGGTGCCTCGAGGGCAGGATCAGCTGGCACCGCATCGGGAGATGAGCTCGGGTCGGGCCGTGCGCGGGATAGGCCTACATCGTCACGGCACCGGCATCGGGTCGCGCGGATTTCCTGCATCTGTCGTGCTGAGCCCCCCCTCCCTGGAGCGAGGAGCGCGCAAAGGGCGGCGCCAGAGGCGCCGCCAGGGGCTCTTGACTTTGTGCCCGACGTTGTTGGCGGCGAGCCGGGGGGGAACTGAGAATGAGAAGGCCTCCTCAGAAGGCTCGGAAGTCCCCTGGCCATCTGAGACGTTTCTGAGCGCACAACCGTGCCGTGCAGACATCGGGCCGCAGCGGCTCCCGCCAGGAAGCAGCAGGGCCGAATCGGATCGAGCCGCGCGAGCGCTCGAGATCGAGCCGGAGCGACCGAATCGAGATGGCCCCTGCGAGAGCCTGGGAGGCAGGAGGGGCAGGAAGACAGCAGGGAAGCAAGGGCAGCACAGACATCCTGCAGAGCGTCCCAGCCAGTGCGGGGGGGGGGAGGAGGCGATCCTATCCTACCCTCGACTTTTGTTTTGAATGTTTGTTGCAGAAGGCGGTCGGCTCGGGCGCCGAGCAGTGCGTGCCACGTCGTGGCGAAGAGATGGCGGCCCCGAAGGAGGGAGCTCCCACCTGCCGCGAGGAGTTATCCGACCCTCGACTTTGAGCGAAAGGGTTTGCGTTCGCCCGCTCAGCATCACAAGTGCACTGTACTGCCGCAGCGGCATCGGACAAGTCGCCGGCCCAGCGGGCCAACTGCGTGCCAGAATCTCCGGCACGAGGATCTTCTCTTTCGGTCCGCGCGCACGTGGCGGCCGCTGGGGATCCCTGGGCAGGGTCCCGGCAAGGTCCGCCGCGGGATGCCAGAACTTCTGGGTGGTCCCCAAGAGCGCCTCAGGAGCGTCCCAAGAATACGAGACCTATGTTGCATCACAGTAGCAATTCGGCCCCCGACTTCGTCCTGGGCTCGGTTTAGTGAAGTGATGAAGTTCGGGGTCCTTACGTGGGAAAAACTAATCTGGGGCCCCTGGGGCCTCAGTGGGCTCCGGGGCTCCCAAGCGGCCCCAGGAGGCCCCCAGGGCGGCCCGAGCCGGCAGGCGCCCAAGGGGCCCCCGAGAAGCCCCCCCAGGAGGCCCCCCGGAGAGGCCCAAAGCAGGCCCCGAGGAGCCCCGAGAAGAGGCCCTCGGAGGCCAGGGCGCCATCGAGGCCGCCTCCAGGAGGATGCCGAGAGGACCCCCGGAGATCTCCACAGGAGCGCGTGTCGTTATTTTCGGCGATCGTGGGCATTTAGTATCCCTGGCCCTCCACATCCTCGACTGGTCGAGGGGAGCCTGCGTCCACCGTAGTGCACATAGGTGGACCAGCTGAGTCGAAAGCACACGTATGGTGGCCTCAGCCAGGCGATGACGCGACCAGTTCCAAGGATGCAATCATACATTGGCGGGTTGCGTTTATCTCTGGCTCACAACCTGCAAAGGCAGAGTTGATGAGTTCGCAATAATGGACATTATAAGGGGGGGAGGGGGCGGGGGGGGGTGTATAATGTAACGCCTCCCCCCCGCCGTGCGCACGGCGGCAGTGCCCCGAGCGCACTGGGGGGGGGGAGGGGCGTTGCGTTATAGGGGGGGGAGGGGGGGCCGGGGGCTACAATGCCCATTATGCCCCAAGCAAGAAAGAAACACACTCAAGATGCCTCGGACCCACGGTCAAAATCCATAATTACAACGAAGACGGGCGGCAAGGATGCAGGGGCCTCGGACGCCGAAGGTGGCACCTTTGTGGGCGGCGGGCGCTGCCAATACCCTGGGGACACAAGGGTACGTATCCTGACCCAGCTTCGTCCTCGCCGAATGGGCGCCGGGACCAAAAGGGAAAACAAAGCAAGGACACAAGCTGATCATTTTCTTAGGGTGGATGGCTCAGGGTGAAATCCAGATGGGCTCTTGCACCTGGAAAATCCATTCGTCTTGTGATTCACCTTTTGCAGATTCAAGCCTCGAAGATCGATCGAAACAGCATTTCAGATGTCACCCTTTGCCCTCCACCCAAAGGAAATGCTCGGACAAGGGTGCCCTCAAAATCCGCGCGTCCCTCTGGGCATGCGCCAAAAATAAGAAAGGGCACCTGCTCGGATGGGCGACGCGGCGCATGCTGCGGGGGCAAGGAAGCGCAAGGCCCCCCTCGCCTTGCCCGCATCCTTAGGGACGCCCCCACCCGTGGGCGAGGCGGCGCATGCTGCGGGGACAGGAACGCTCAAAGGCCCCCTTCCTAGTCCGCGTCCTTAGGTACGCCTCCGCCCGTCGGCGACGGGACGCATACTGCGGGGACAAGGACGCGTCACCCCGACAACCCTGTGGTGAAAACCACTTGTTACGGTCGCACTCTCGGCGTCAACATGGGACTATGCAACGTGAAACAACACAAATTGGGGGACGTGCCACCCAACAAACAGTGTGAGAAAGAAACACATTTGTTTCAGTCACATTATCGGCGTCCACATGCGGTCTGACTATGCGAAGCAACACAAGAGTGACACGTGTCACCATGAACACCGTGTAAGAAAAAACAATTGTGTCACTAGCATTCTGGGCGTCAGCATGGGACCATACCATACAGCGTGAAACAATACACGCGCAACACGTGTCACATCGAACACCGCATGAAGGAACAACAAATGTTTCACTCGCATCCTAGGCGTCAACATGGGACCATACGGCGTGAAACGAGACAGGGGTGACACGTGTCACCCCGAGAACCGTGTGCGAACAAAACGACTGTTTCACCTGATCACGAACATCGTGGGAGAAAGGCCGATGGTTTCACGTGCACTCTGGGCGTCAGCATGGGACCGACGAGTGTGAAAC